GTTCTTGTCAAATCTTGAAACAAATCAGTTTCCAGCTCTCCTACCTTCCAGGCTACATTACCATCATTATTAATATGCGGGCCAATCTATGAAACATTTTCCCATTATGATCACGCAGCATGTTCAATCCATTTTTAAAAACATCATCATATAATTATATAAAATTCGTAAAGTGTATTTTTTTTCCAATTTATATCCATTTTATTGAGAATTTTATGACAAACCACATTAACATTTCTTATATATAATATATTATGTCAGGTGAAGGCAATGTAGCCCTCCATTCCAATTTAGAAAGAAGTAAATATAGTTAAATTTTAGTGCCTTAGCAGTCTTCAACTTAAAATTCACTGATCAATTATGATTAATTGGTTAACTAATATAAACAGAGTTGAAAGAAAATAAAATTTATTAGTCAATACTTGTAATAAGAAGATATATATATTTCGCTTTTTTTTTTTAAATCTAAAATGGGAGAAAGTTAATCATATTGTTCTCAATTCGATCGAGTGCGATGGTTGAAGTTGACATGATAGAATTAGAAACTGCTGTTCATGAATAATTTAAAGTCTGAGCGAAAGTAGAGGCATTAAAGTTTACTTACTTCCCATGCAACTACGAAACTGACGCCCACTAAATAGGTAAGAAAATGTCTTTAATGCTTCCCTTCCCCCACTAGGAATACTGTAATATTGGGGTCCCGTTATGCCTCCCATACCATTAGATGATTGGGGATGCTATGCTAGTTGGATGGTCTAGATAATCTACCGTTTCACTTTCCTCATAAATATGAAAGGTTTGTATAAAATGTCCAAACACCGTGGTGATCTTATTCCGAGCCTTTTTCATGCATAGAAACTTTTAAAATTAATATTATTTTACTACCTAAATTTATATTCCGTTTCTGATTCCGACATCGTTACGACCCCATGCCAATATCATTCTTTTCCCTGACCATCACTCACCAAAACCCCTTAAACCCTACTTCCATCGACTTTGCCTTAATCTCTGCACCCCCGACAGTTTTTTTTCGCTGTTCTTTCTTTGACTTGATTCAAAAGTTGATTTTAAGAAGTCACAGTGGACAGCATCACATACTTTTTTATATATTTTATTGATTTTACATGAACGTGGTTGAATTTTAAACGAATTCTCTTTATTTAGATTAATTAGAAATAGCATGACAAAAATGTCTGATATCCCGCCCCGTGGATGGGATGTGGAGGGGCTAGAGAGTTGAGACCTTTCTTTGAATTCATTTGTGAGCAGAATGTAGCCATGATTAGTAAACTCTTAATCAACTGTTCAACTCACTTAACAACAGTGAGTTTCACATCATATATCCAACACTGCTCCTCCTTTGCCAAGCCATCCTCCTAGAATTCAATCCGCCAATTCCACGAAACTAGGAATCCTTTTGGACAGTAGCGAAACTCTAAACAACATTGGCTGCCATCGAAAGTGAAAGTTCATACCAATTTTTAAACCTTAGATAACCCTAAAATTCTGTGGCTATCCCTCAACTTTATCAGCCACATTTACTTGATCAACTTGGTCCAAAAACAAGCCAGTGGCGCAACAAATTGTGTTTTCTCGGATTCGAATTCGGCTAGCTTATGACCCTACCTACGTTCACGTATGCATGCATTGAAGCTTAAATTAAACAGTAATTGGATCAGACACAGACCCAGACCCAGACCCACATGCATGCAATTTGCCTCTCCAGTTCACAAGCCTGTCCCTGACACGAAACATCTACTTCCACTTGCGTTTTGAGTGAAGAGTTTTAGGACCAGATGAGTTGCATATTATTGACAAGTGGCCTCTTGGCTCGAGATATTTTATTAATTTTTGTCCACACAAATATCTGCACAAATTAGGGACGATCTTATCCCAACTACTCCTTTTCTTGTACGCAAAAACACCACGCTTTGGGTAGCCAATTGGCCATATCGACATCCCTGGTTCAATATTGAGGTAAGTATTTGATAGGTATTGCATAATTTTTGTGATGGTATATAATGAACAAGAATTATTGATTTGTCCAGTTCGAAAACCTATCAGCAGCCTTGCTTTTTATTATAATAAAGTTTGATTTGTATTAAAAAAATTCAGTCTAATCCATTTTTAAGTTCCATTAATCCGACTCCCAATGGGTTCGATTTGATTGACTGGTCAATTTGTTACACTTATAAAGAAATTAAAAATCAATCTATTGATCAAACATTCAATTAAGTTTAAAAAGTACTCATAATTCAAATTATTAAACAGAAACTTTCGAAATCCAACTACTGTATTTGAAATAGAATGAACCATTAGAATAATTGAATATATCATATTAATTATGAGATGCAAATATTTTAAAAATTTTAACATATACACTAAGGATTGGTGATTAATCTTTGTTTTAGTTTTGTATTATGTTAAAGTAGTAATTGTTTGTCAATCATAAACCACGCTTTAAAAATTTCGAAATATTTACGTATGAATATATATGAAAATAAAAATTAATGATAATATCAACTTCGAGGCATCTACCGTGTTTGAGATGCCGCCTACCCAGAAATAGCCTATTCAAAAGGAGATAAACTAAATTATGTTTATACTTGCAACTTGCCTATATTAAAATCTCTATATCTTTAAAGGGATTAACACATGCTTTTTGATCTTGACATTTGGTAGGTTCCATTGTTTGGATATCAACTTTTTTCCCCCTATAAATTGGGACCCTTTCTCCTCTACTTTCATCACTTCATTACCTCCCAACTTCAGAGATTACTTACAGAATTAAGTACAGATATGGAAGGTTCAATTGCAAAACACTTGCTCAACTCTTTTCTCATTCTACTAGCCATTACTTCACTTACAAACTCAAGCTCAGCCGATACTCGATTCTACCCCCTGCCTCCTAAAAGCGTTAGCACAGAGTTCATTAAAACATCTTGCAGCTCTACAACTTATCCCAGACTTTGCTATACGACGCTTGCTGGGCATGCCAGCTTAATCCAAACTAGTCCTAAGCTCCTTGCCCATGTAGCCCTTAACGTGACTCTTGCAACGGCTAAATCAACGTCGGCCGTCATGTTAAAGCTGTCGAAAGGCTCCGGGATGAACCCTAGAGAGGTGGAAGCCATGCAAGATTGCCTAGAGGAGCTGAGTGATTCAGTTGATGGATCAGAGTGTCTATTGGTGAGATGGATCGATTAAAAGCTTCTAATTTTGAGCTTATGATGAGTGATATACAACTTGGGTTAGTGCTGCTTTGACTGACGAAACCACTTGCAGCGATGGTTTTGAAGGTAATAAAGTGAATGGAAAATGGTGAGAAGCCGAATTGTGAACATTGCTCATATGACTAGCAATGCCTTGTCTTTGATCAATGCTATGCTTCTGTTCATGCTTAATATATTAAAAAATAAATAGATATATTTATGTATATTTCTTATTAAAAACTCGGCTGCTGCGTTTGGCCAAGCCGCCGCTTGACTTCCATGGTTGCTGCAAGAAAAAATGTAATGGTTTTCAGACCTCAGGATTAGTATGTAAAAGTTTTAGTGAGGTTGCTTTGTATGTATGAATGTGTATATTTTATTATATATGTGAGATTGGGTTGTTATAGTATTATCCTTTGTGTAAAATAAAGTTTCTTGCTGCATATGTCGTGGAAATTTCACTAAAAATGTTCTCTATTTTGATTTTTTTTTTTTTTTTTTTTTTTTTGTGTCCAAGTTGTGTTGGGTCACTGTGCATATCTCACTAGTTCTCTAAGGTCTTGAAGTTAACGGTCAAGTAAATCTCTAGTGGTTACCCCTTATTAGTAGTCGTAAAAATTCAATTAAGACCTCTCGAATAATATATCAAAAAATCTGCAACAACCGTCAAACTAAGAGTGTTCAAAATGGTTAATCGAACCAGTTTTCCCTTTTTTATAAATTTTTTTTTTCCTAATTAGATTGTAAAATATAAACAATACATATTCAATAAAAATTAATATTCTAAATATTCTTAACTACTACTAACAATACATTAAAAATATTATTATTTTTTTATTTAATATATATTTTTATTTTTATTTATATATAAAATATATATTTTAAAACCGGTTCAAAAACCGGTCTCGGTTACCGCTTTTTATTTTTCTCGAACCGAAAATCTAATTTCTTGAATTTTTCAAACCGTAACCAAACCGTTTTTTCGGTTAACTGATTTTCAATTCGTTCGATTTTACATTTTTTTGAACAACCCTACGTCAAACTAATTAGAGGAAGTTCTCCAATTTTATTTTATTTCTTGTCCACGTTTAGAAATTTGAATTGTAAAACTCCGAGCAAATGTCACATGTGCATAGTAAACATTAGACAAATAAAGCAATCAACTAAAAGTGATGGCTCCACAATGATAGCTATTGATGGCGAATGGCTTTTCAAATGTCTACCAATTCTAAACAGAAAATAAATTATGATAAATCTATTTGGTTCACGAGAAATATCTCAAGGGCTTTGATCCCAAGTTCTTTTATTCTCGTAGTTCATCGTGGACTCTAAGTCTATATGAATGATTGGAGTCCTATTAGTATATTATCAAAACTTGGGACAGTGAGATTGAATGGACAGAGCCCTTACCATACAGAAATCTGAAGAACAATTGGCTTTATTCCCATATTTCCATTTACAAATGGTATCTCAATCAACTCCTTAACAATCAAATGCTAAAAGTTGGTTTGCCAGTTGCCAAGCAATAATTTGAAAAGAGCAATACTACTCTTCAAAACAAAAACAAGAGGCCATACAAAGACATTTCCACCCTTTATCTTCATGATTTCTCTCCTCTCTCTCTCCCTCTTTTTCCGTTTTTTCTTTGTTTTTCCTTCCAGTGATGTCACTTTATAGCTCTCTTTGTATTGTTCTTTGTAAGGATAGTATTTTTATTTGAAATGGGTAATCACTTTAACAAATAATTGTACACTGCTTAGGCATCGAAATTCGAAAGTTGACATATTGCAGCTCTCTGTCTTCACACTCCAAAATTAACCCGTTTCCACCAAACTTTCATCCTCACTGTTTCTCCTCTTCAGGAATATAGAAAATAGATGAAGTTGAACCAATTCATAAACGTCTCTTTAGTTCAGTAAATTCTTCAGCATTTTTAAAATATGCAAATGAGAGGTGCAAGACTCTTTCTCACGAGCTTGCGCTTGTTTTAATCAATTTAAGCTATGTGTTTTTTCATGATATTTGTCAAACAGAAACACAGTGTGCACTAATTTTCAAAAAGGACCAAAAGAGAAAAAAAAAAGATTAAAGCAAGTCCTCAAAGATAGAACGCTATAATGAAGGCATCAAAATATCTTTCCTTTTTACCAATCTTTGTGAGGCATGGAAAAGATGTAAAGTGAACCACAAAAAAGAAAAAGGTTTTGCTCTTATAACCATTGACAGGGTTAGTATTTTGAAGTACAACCGGGCCAAATAATATTGAACTTACAAGAAACGTTAAGAAGCTCTCTTGGAGGAGACATTATCAATGAGGAAATTATAGTGCTGATCAGAAATACCTGTACCAGTGATCCTGTAAATGTAAAACATGAAGACAACAATGTTCTGTTTATATGAATAATATGATGTTAGCATTATCCAGATACGTAGTTAGATAAAGATGCTCAACTACCAACCAGAACCCGTGCAGTCTCAACAAGTTCAAACTTCTCGGCCCCCAGTCACTTCGGTTTCTAATACCTAAAAAGTATACCCACAATTAAACTTTCAGGGACATATTATTAAGTTCTTAAGATATTTGTTTTTCTTAAGTACATATGCATGTGCTGAAGTGTGAATAACATAATTTTCTAGTTCTAACTAAATAATCACGCATAACATGTGCCATGAAGGAGGGCATCCACCATCAGAAAAACCTAATAGATCTACCAACATATTCCATTCTTTCAGCTATATACCCGAAGTTACAATGAACTCTTTTTGTATCAAAGGAAATTTTATATCAATAGAAACACTGAAGCACTCTGCAGTACAAAACAACAACAACTTGCATTCAAAGCCAATGCTAATTCTACTTCTTAGGAGTTTCAACATCACAGATCAACAAAACATCCACGGAGAACCTCTCCCCTTGTGGCCGGATGGCAAGCCCTTTAATTATTGGGGTTAGTTATACCTACGGTCTTGATTTAGAGTCGCTGAAAAGGCAATTACCGGGTTTACACAAAAAAAAAAAAATTCATCATTACAGAGGAGTCATCAATGGTGCACTCCTCAACTAGCTTCCAATAAGGTTAGGTCATTCAATCTTCCTACATGCCTATCAAGCCCCTCTTGCCTTCACAACCAAGGACTCAAATTGTGACACAATACCTAATTTCACTTAAATTAGTGAAAATCACTGCACAACAACCAAATTCCCCATTTTTGCTTTATTATATTTCCCAGTAGCTTATCAACAAAATGAACCATTATCATTCTGTCCTCAGGATTCTTATATAAAGTGAAAATAAAACCATCTTACTCTTGTATACTGTCCCCTTCTAATAACACCAAAAAAGTTTCTTCACTAGCATGGCCTCTTTAGCCACGCATATTAACACAACCGAGATACAAGACTACTAGATCTGGCAGAAAGTCAGACCTAGATTCCCTTCAAAACTTACCATTAATCCACACCACTTGTAACAACTTCACATAGAATCTAACAACCTATTTTGTCAACACGATGTTGTAGACCCTCCCTTATCCAACTCAACCTTACCTAACCTAAGTTGAAATGTATTATTAGATACATACAGATTCTCTAATTGTTTTATCTGTTCAAGATTTAAACATTGTTAATCCCCAATTATTGGTTTGATAACACAACATCACTAGTGCCAATTTTAGTGAAACTCCAGATCAGATAAAAGGACTGAAATACTTAAATGTATATCATACGAGTTAATCAGCATACAAAATTCACTGTTTCGTAGAAATTGGATTCAATTCAATATAATAATGAGGACTACAATTTTGCTCATTAGAAGTCAAACGGGTTAACCTTATGACTCACAAATAATCAAAGTTAGGACCAGTAAAATAAAAACATGTTTGTCTAGCAGACCCTATACCTATTCTTCCTTGTTTACATGATGGCATCTGAACTGAGAGTGCGATCATATATCCAAAACAAAATTATCACAAGTTTCTAAGCACTGTGGGAGATTTCTTCTTCAACATTTAGTCTAAGCAAAATTTGAAAAATTAAATCCTTGAGGAATTGAAAGAGTATGACCATTCTGTCAAAGAGATATTAACACTTGGAAAACGAAGAACTTTACGAAATTTAAAGGATAAAAAAGGGAAAAATTATGAACTGACCTCTAAAATTGAATTAGCCTTGACAACACAAAATATTGAGAGAAGTATTGCAATAGATGATCCAAGCATACAAACTCTCAAAAAATTGATTTTGCTTCGCTTTCGACCTACACACAATGATGATGGTTATTTAATGGGTGCACAACAACAAAGCAACTTAAAAGAGAACAAGGATTTGGTCGGAACCTAATTCCCCTAAAATAGAGATTTAAGCCAAGTGACAGACGAAACAGCAAGTTTATTGGGACCCTCCTCCTTTGTTGTAGATAGATTATGTGGAAACTGACCCTATCAAGTGATGACCGCCTGCAAACAAATAAGAAAAACCTATCTTAAAACCCTTTAGTCATCACATTAGAGCCTGAAATATCATCTTTATAGGAACGGAACTGATGCTCTTGGAAATCAAAAACCACATTCCTTTAAAAGGAGAAGATTAAGCTACCACTATTGCCGGTGAAATCTTTGGGCTTGCAGCACAAACCAAACCATCTGAATCAGTTGATACATCTACAGATCCTAATGCAATTACCATTGGCTTAAACCCATCTAACTAAAAACCATACAAAGTAAATATTTTTAAAACAAATCCTAGAACAATTTAACCAGACAAAAAGTACCACATTGACCCTATTCAAATTGGGGGCTCAACTATGATGACTGAATCTTATTTCGAACTAAAATCTCAACTTCCAAATTAACTCAGGAAACCTTGCAAGTTATTGAAAAGGAGTACCTGAGTGAAGATAAGTGCAGAGAGACGAGCCTTCCCTTTTGCAACCCTTGTGTACCTAAAATTAAATTTAACAACGGATAAAATCAACAGATATCACTGAGACTAGGGAATTGATATTAACATAAGAGATGGAGCTTACGGGAATCGACGACCATGCGATAGAAAAATCAGAGCCGTCCGTCCCAGATGGCCTTCCTGATGCAGATAGTGTCTCTGCTGCATCTGTTTTCTGCAAAAGTTCTGGTGGTTTTAGTTTACTTAAAATGACGAAGAATGTTGGGCCTCTTTAAAATTTTGTATAAGATCTGCTGTTTTTCCAATGATCCTTAAATTTAAATAATTTCATCTAGCCCATTAAGGTTTTTTTTTTTTTTTTTTTTTTTTTTTTTTTTTTTTTTTAAATTGAATTATTGCAGTATGGGGAATGGGGATTTTTTCAAATACAACTGTACAAAACCAATTAATGCAGCCTAAATCAATGTACTAAAATGATTGGTTGGATTATAAATTAAAAAAAGTAATTTTTGGGTCATTCAGTAATGATAATGCTATATGCACTAACTTAAAATTTGAAATTTTTTTATTTTAGTTTTTTGTAGAAACTGACGTGACAATAAGAGATCTGCCACGTCAGTTAGTACTTAGATTGTATGATTTTTTGTTAGTACACATAGCATTATTCTTAAGTAATATCTAAAACATATCAATCAACATAGAATTGAAAAACAAACTGTGTTTTCAAGATCAATAGCTGCTAAATTCATCCCAGATACAGAACACTATCAAAAGCAATTAAAGTCCCTAGTTTGTTCAGGGTTCTAACTAGTTTAGTCGATAATTAAAACTCTTTCAGTCTTGAAACCTCCCTTCGTTTCAAGAAGTTCGGGGTATTACATATGATACAGGGTATAGTTAGAATCAAATGTAAGAGATTCCAAGGATGTAATCTTTTGAAGTAACCAACACGCCAACAAAGGTGCATTATATAAGTAGTTGGCTCTGATTGAGGAGGATTAGTCCGATCGTCTATGTACTGATCATTGTCATCAGGTCCTCCAACAATTGCCCCAGTAAGCATGTTGTAGTTATGATATTTGCTTTCAAAGAATAGGTTCCACCATGGCATGTGATGTGCTTTGGATGCGAATAAATGAAGGCATGCTAGATCCACGATGATGTATTTTTCTGGAGAAAATTTATCCCATATCCCACCATGTATGACATCTTGATTGGATTGCTTCCTAATATATAGTCAACCTGACTTTTTGCTACATCAACAACCTGGAGGGGGAGTGGCAGCATTGTTGCCACATTGAACGACTCTATTTTTGGCCATTTGCAAATAGCTGGAGTACACCAGAGAGAAAGACGCGGCTGTAACATGTTGGTGTTGCTTCCTCCAGGTTTGAATTGTAGCCCACCTCACAGATACCCTCATCTATTAAAATATAGTTCATTTTAAATCAAATCACAGCCTGTGAAGTATCACACCAGAAACAAACACTTTATAGAGTATTACCTGAGAGTATGTGCCGGTTCTGTGGGCGATTCGGGCAGTACAGAACAAACAAACTTATCTGCATAGGAAACACAAGGATCGGCCTTGGGGTGCTCAACACCAACTGTTGAGAAAATTAGAAAACAAATTTAGAATGTCCAGATGTTTTATAATGAATAAGAACAGGTGAAATGGTCTACCCCGGAAACAAGTACGTTGATTCCAGCGTGCTTTGAATCCCATCCGAATTCATATTATCCAGTGTTGATTTGTTTTGTACAACCATATTCCAGTAATTATATGACCCGGTCGCTTTGTATAACCATGCTGCTCCCCAGATCAATTCATCCTGAAAGACAGAATCGCATTAAATTTCTTTCAAATGAATTCAATATTGTAGATGAACAAGTTTGTAACTCTCTAATCTTTACCATGTAGCCATCGTAATCGCAGTAATAAGGGCAGACCCCTGCACCAACACTGGAATTATACGAGCCCTGATACTTCTGTGCAAATTCATAAACCTGCAGCTCCAGGAACAACAACAAGAGCTTAATAGTTTGAAAAACCAAATTGTACCTGACAAAATTCAATTAAACTGACTACCTGGGGCCCCTCTGGAGAAGCCTTCTAGAGTATCTAAGATCAACGGACTTGAAACCCATGGAAGAGGCCGTAAGGGAAGCTGCAATCTCAGCAGAAACTTCTGATCCGGGGTTGCTTGTATTAACAACTATGAGGTTCTGGGGGTGTCCATATCTTCAGGCCTCTCCCAACAGTTGTGGTCACCAGTGGGGATCACCAACTTGGGCAACGACTTTGCGGGGACACTGGTGGCCTTCAGGAAAGTCGGTGCCCCATTTCAGATGTCTAATGCGTATTGTTTATCTGAGCCCATAAGATTACCAAATTCTAAGATGCTCCAGGCCAGCATTGTGGTAGTGAAAGCCATCGGAAAACTGAATTTTATGTTGTCTCCAGCGTCATAGTAACCACCTACCAAGTCAACCTGAAAATGAACGCCAGAAAATACAATTTTTCTTTCCTTGATCTTACAAATTATAGATGCAAATTCGATTTTGTAAGAACTCAAATCATACATATTAATTAAGCTGGTTTTTTTTTTTTTAATATTATTATTATTTTTTTCCTATTGATGTTAACATCTCTGTTAAACCAACGTATAGGATTATATATTAATTAATTGTAAATAATCTATATGTCTTAAAACAATACTTAAAAAAAACTAAGTCATTGAGCACGTTTAATTCTTTCATACAAATACAAAGGAAAAAAAGTATCACGTTGAGCTCATGTGAAAGAGTGAATATAAAAAACTTACACCAACGTCAGAGCCATCACGAAGAGCAAATGAGCTCTCCAAGTCATCCTTTGTGTAGGGGTAACTTCCCTGACCTCTGACCTTCAAAGAACAAAATACACTTGGACAATGCATCTCCATAATTATGTGAAGCCACCTTCATCACCATTTCATCCCTACCAACACTTTCAGAGATATAAACTTTACACCCATTGTTTCTTTCTTTCTGCTCTCTTTACCTCACCTTCTTCCTCTACGTTAACTTTTTTTTATGTTAATTAACACGCACTCATTTGAAGTCTGTAAAAAGGGTCAAGAAAGATAATACATTGTCAGCTTGAAATTCTCTTAATATTTTATTTATTTCATTGACATTTATGTTGGTATTTAAATAAATTACATAACAGCACAGTCCAGCGCAAGGTTAAATGGTGCACTGCTCATTCTGGGCAACCTCATTAAGGCATAGAGCAAATTGACCATTCATATAGAAAATGCCACCTGTAAGAACAAGCAAAATTACACAAAAGGAAAATAACTTTGCATATCCAGTAAAAATTGAGAAAACTTAAGATATATATCAAGAAAATTTAGTAAGAAAGTAAGTGGTAAATCTAGGAATGAGAAGGGAATCATGGTAATATAGAAATAAATATCTTACTCTATGGGGCCGTTTAGATAATATAATGTTTTATTATAAGGGGATATTATATTAACGGAATAAAAAATCACTTTGAAGATTGCTGGGAATGTTTAGAAAATATGTTTGGTTGGTTCGAATAAATTGGTGAATAATATGTTCGGTTGGGAAGATAAATGGGTGGGTATGTTATATAGATTACTAAATTGCCCTCCTTTTTAAATATTAATATAACAGTATTTTTTATTATTATTTTTTGAATAATTTCTTTTAACCCACTACTTTTTAGATTTAGCAAAAACACCCTAGCAACCAAAAACGTTTTAAACTTAACAAAAACACCCCCACCCACCCGAAGCCACTATCGACAACCAGCTACCATCGCTGGTGGCCGTTGGCAATGCCACAGATCTGACTGTGACGTCGGTAGTGCCACAGATCTGGCCATTTCACGGCCAAAGATGTGGTCGTGAAACGGCCACAAATCTGGCCATGAAATGGCTAGGTCTTTGGCCTTGAAACGCCAACCGTTTCACGGCCAGATCAGTGGCCATTCATGGCCACATCTTTGGTCGTGAACGGCCATAGATCTGCTCGTGAAACAGCAAGATCTAGCATTTTTCGACTATGGTCAGAAAAAGCCTCACTGGTACACGATCGACGATATACGGTCGGTCGTACGCCATTATGGTGACTTTTGGCAGCCTCTGATAGTGATCGACGGTGGCTGGCGGTGGTGGCTAATTCTGGTATAATGTCATTTCTGTAAATAATGACAATATAAATGGCAATGTCATCCAAAAAATTTAAAAAGTGATGACAAAAGTGTCTATAACAACGTCAGAGCCATCACGAAGAGCAGAATGAGCTCTCCAAGTCATCTTTTGTGTAGAGGCCGTAGGGCTGCAAACGAATCGAACAGTTCGCGAACGTTCGTTGTTCGTTCGATTACTGTTCGATAATGTTCGCGAACATTTGTTCGCAAACAGTTCGATAATTGTTCGATAATATGTTCGATCGAGTTCGAACAGGGGTTGTTCGTTCGATTATGTTCGCGAACACTATACGTTCGACTAATTCATCCGTTCGCGAACAATCGTTCGATTGTTCGTTCGTTTATGTTCGAAAAACANTGTCTTATGTTAAACTAGTGATTGTTTGTCAATCATAAACCACACTTTTAAAATTTCAAAATATTTACGTATGAATATATGAATATAAAAATTAATGATAATATTTTTTTTTTTTTTTTTTTTTATATCTAAGAATGTTCGGATCAATTTAAGCATACTTCAACTAGTGTCTTAAAACCCTAAAATATTAATGATAATATCAACTTCGATGCATCTATAGTATTTTAGATGTCGCCTACTCATAAGTAGCCTACTCAAGAGGTAAACTAAATTATGTTCATACTGACAACTCGCCTATATTAAAATCTTTGTATCTTTAAAGGGATTAACACATGCTTTTTGAGCTTGACATTTGGTGGGTTCCATTGTTTGGATATCAACTTTTTCCCCCTATTAATTGGGCACCCTTTCTAGTTTCTTCTCTGTTTTCATCACTTCATTACCTCCCAACTTCCGAGATTTCTTACAGAATTAAACACAGATATGGAAGGTTCAATTGCAAAACACTTACTCAACTCTTTTCTCATTCTACTAGCCATTACTTCATTCATAAACTCAAGCTCAGCCGATACTCGATTCTACTACCCCGTGCCTCCTAAAAGCGTTAGCACAGAGTTCATTAAAACATCTTGTAGCTCTACAACTTATCCCAGACTTTGCTATACCTCGCTTGCTGGGCAAGCGGGCTTAATCCAAACTAGTCCTAAGCTCCTTGCCCATGCAGCCCTTAACGTGACTCTTGCAACGGCTAAATCAACTTCGGCGGTCATGTTAAAGCTGTCGAAAGGCTCCGGGATGAACCCTAGAGAGGTGGAAGCCATGCAAGATTGCCTAGAGGAGCTGAGTGATTCAGTTGATGAGATCAGGAGGTCTATTGGTGAGATGGATCAGATAAAAGCTTCTAATTTTGAGCTTATGATGAGTGATATACAGACTTGGGTTAGTGCTGCTTTGACTGACGAAACCACTTGCAGCGATGGTTTTGAAGGTAATAAAGTGAATGGGAAAATGGTGAGAAGCCGAATTGTGAACATTGCTCATATGACTAGCAATGCCTTGTCTTTGATCAATAGCTATGCTTCTGTTCATGCTTAATAATTATTAAAAAATAAATAGATATATTTATGTATATTTCTTATTAAAAACTCGGCTGCTGCGTTTGGCCAAGCCGCCGCTTGACATGCCATGGTTGCTGCAAGAAAAAATGTAAGTGGTTTTCAGACCTCAGGATTAGTATGTAAAAGTTTTAGTGAGGTTGCTTTGTATTTGTAGAATGTGTATATTTTATTATATATGTGAGATTGGGTTGTAAGTATAGTATTATCCTTTGTGTAAAATATAAGTTTCTTGCTGCATATGTCGTGGAAATTTCACTAAAAATGTTCTCTATTTTGATTTTTTTTTTTTTTTTTTTTTTTTGTGTCCAAGGGTGTTTGGGTCACTGTGCATATCTCAACTAGTTCTCTAAGGTCTTGAAGTTAACGGTCAAGTAAATCTCTAGTGGTTACCCCTTATTAGTAGTCGTAAAAATTCAAATTTAAGACCTCTCGAATAATATATCAAAAAATCTGCAACAAACCGTCAAACTAAGAGTGTTCAAAAGTGGTTAATCGAACCAGTTTTCCCTTTTTTATAAATTTTTTTTTTCCTAAATTAGATTGTAAATATAAACAATACATATTCAAATAAAAATTAAATATTCATAAATATTCATTAACTACTACTAACAATACATTAAAAATATTATTATTTTTTTATTTAATATATAATTTTTATTTTTATTTAATATATAAAATATATATTTATAAAACCGGTTCAAAAAACCGGTCTCGGTTAACCGCTTTTTATTTTTTCTCGAACCGAAAATCTAATTTCTTGAATTTTTCAAACCGTAACCAAACCGTTTTTTCGGTTAACTGATTTTTCAATTCAGTTCGATTTTTACATTTTTTTGAACAACCCTACGTCAAACTAATTAGAGGAAGTTCTCCAATTTTATTTTATTTCTTGTCCACGTTTAGAAATTTGAATTGTAGAAAACTCCGAGCAAATGTCACATGTGCATAGTAAACAATTAGACAAATAAAGCAATCAACTAAAAGTGATGGGCTCCAGCAAATGATAGCTATTGATGGCGAATGGCTTGTCAAATGTCTAAACAATTCTAAACAGAAAATAAATTATGATAAATCTATGTTGGTTCACGAGAAATATCTCAAGGGCTTTGATCCCAAGTTCTTTTTATCTCGTAGTTCATCGTGTACTCAAGTATTAACGAAATGATTGGAGTACTATTAGTAATTATCAAAACTTGGGAAGTGAGATTGAATGGACAGAGCCCTACCATCAGAAATCTGAAGAACAATTGGCTTTATTCCCATATTTCCATTTACAAATGGTATCTCAATCAACTCCTTAACAATCAAATGCTAAAAGTTGGTTGCCAGTTGCCAACAATATTTGAAAAGAGGCAATACTACTCTCAAAGACAAAAACAAAGAGGCCATACAAAGACAATTTCCACCCTTTATCTTCATGATTTCTCTCCTCCTCTCTCCCTCTTTTTCCGTTTTTTCTTTGTTTTTCCTTCCTAGTGATGTCACTTTATAGCTCTCTTTGTATTGTTCTTTGTAAGGATAGTATTTTTATTTGAAAATGGGTAATCACTTTAACAAATAATTGTACACTGCTTAGGCATCGAAATTCGAAAGTTGACATATTGCCAGCTCTCTGTCTTCACACTCCAAAATTAACCCGTTTCCACCAACTTTCATCCTCACTGTTTCTCCTCTTCAGGAATATAGAAAATAGATGAAGTTGAACCAATTCATAAACGTCTCTTTAGTTCAGTAAATTCTTCAGCATTTTTAAAATATGCAAATGAGAGGTGCAAGACTCTTTCTCACGAGCTTGCGCTTGTTTTAATCAATTTAAGCTATGTGTTTTTTCATGATATTTGTCAAACAGAAACACAGGGTGCACTAATTTTCAAAAAGGACCAAAAGAGAAAAAAAAAAGATTAAAGCAAGTCCTCAAAGATAGAACGCTATAATGAAGGCATCAAAATATCTTTCCTTTTTACAATCTTTGTGAGGCATGGAAAAGATGTAAAGTGAACCACAAAAAAAGAAAAAGGTTTTGCTCTTATAACCATTGACAGGGTTAGTATTTTGAAGTTACAACCGGGCCAAATAATATTGAACTTACAAGAAACGTTAAGAAGCTCTCTTGGAGGAGACAGTTATCAATGGGAAATTATAGTGCTGATCAGAAATACCTGTACCAGTGATCCTGTAAATGTAACAATGAAGACAACAATGTTCTGTTTATATGAATAATATGATGTTAGCATTATCCAGATACGTAGTTAGATAAAGATCTCAACTACCACCAGAACCCGTGCAGTCTCAACAAGTTCAAACTTCTCGCTCCCAGTCACTTCGGTTTCTAATAACCTAAAAAGTATACCCACAATTAAACTTTCAGGACAATATTATTAAGTTCTTAAGATATTTGTTTTTCTTAAGTACATATGCATGTGCTGAAGTGTGAATAACATAATTTTCTAGTTCTAACTAAATAATCCGCATAACATGTGACCATGAAGGAGGGCATCCACCATCAGAAAACCTAATAGATCTACCAACATATTCCATTCTTTCAGCTATATACCCGAAGTTACAATGAACTCTTTTTGTATCAGAAGGAAATTTTATATCAATAGAAACACTGAAGCACTCTGCAGTACAAAACAACAACAACTTGCATTCAAAGCCAATGCTAATTCTACTTCTTAGGAGTTTCAACATCACAGATCAACAAAACATACCACGGAGAACCTCTCCCCTTGTGGCCGGATGGCAAGCCCTTTAATTATTGGGGTTAGTTATACCTACGGTCTTGATTTAGAGTCGCTGAAAGGCAATTACCGGGTTTACACAAAAAAAAAAAAATTCATCATTACAGAGGAGTCATCAATGGTGCACTCCTCAACTAGCTTCCAATAAGGTTAGGTCATTCAATCTTCCTACATGCCTATCAAGCCCCTCTTGCCTTCACAACCAAGGCTCTCAAATGTGACACAATACCTAATTTCACTTAAATTAGTGAAAATCACTGCACAACAACCAAATTCCCCATTTTTGCTTTATTATATTTCCCAGTAGCTTATCAACAAAATGAACCATTATCATTCTGTCTCAGGATTCTTTATATAAAGTGAAAATAAAACCATCTTACTCTTGTATACTGTCCCCTTCTAATAACACCAACAAAAGTTTCTTCACTAGCATGGCCTCTTTAGCCACGCATATTAACACAACCGAGATACAAGACTACTAGACTGGCAGAAAGTCAGACCTAGATTCCCTTCAAAACTTACCATTAATCCACACCACTTGTAACAACTTCACAAGAATCTAACAACTATTTTGTCAACACGATGTTGTAGACCCTCCCTTTACCAACTCAACCTTACCTAACCTAAGTTGAAATGTATTATTAGATACATACAGATTCTCTAATTGTTTTATCTGTTCAAGATTTAAACATTGTTAATCCCCAATTATTGGTTTGATAACACAACATCACTAGTGCCAATTTTAGTGAACCCAGATCAGATAAAAGGACTGAAATACTTAAATGTATATCATACGATTAATCAGTCATACAAAATTCACTGTTTCGTAAATTGGATTCAATTCAATATAATAATGAGGACTACAATTTTGCTCATTAGAAGTCACAAACGGGTTAACCTTATGACTCACAAATAATCAAAGTTAGGACCAGTAAAATAAAAACATGTTTGTCTAGCAGACCCTATACCTATTCTTCCTTGTTTACATGATGGCATCTGAACTGAGAGTGCGATCATATATCCAAAACAAAATTATCACAAGTTTCTAAGCACTGTGGGAGATTTCTTCTTCAACATTTAGTCTAAGCAAAATTTGAAAAAATTAAATCCTTGAGGAATTGAAAGATGTATGACCATTCTGTCAAAGAGATATTAACACTTGGAAAACGAAGAACTTTACGAAATTTAAAGGATAAAAAAGGGAAAAATTATGAACTGACCTCTAAAATTGAATTAGCCTTGACAACACAAAATATTGAGAGAAGTATGCAATAGATGATCCAAGCATACAAACTCTCAAAAAATTGATTTTGCTTCGCTTTCGACCTACACACATGATGATGGTTATTTAATGGGTGCACAACACAAGCAACTTAAAAGAGAACAAGGATTTGGTCGGAACCTAATTCCCCTAAAATAGAGATTTAAGCCAATGACAGACGAAACAGCAAGTTTATTGGGACCCTCCTCCTTTGTTGTAGATAGATATGTGGAAATGACCCTATCAAGTGATGACCGCCTGCAAACAAATAAAAAAACCTATCTTAAAACCCTTTAGTCATCACATTAGAGCCTGAAATATCATTTTATAGGAACGGAACTGATGCTCTTGGAAATCAAAAACCACATTCCTTTAAAAGGAGAAGATTAAGCTACCACTATTGCCGGTGAAATCTTTGGGCTTGCAGCACAAACCAAACCATCTGAATCAGTTGATACATCTACAGATCCTAATGCAATTACCATTGGCTTAAACCCATCTTAACTAAAAACCATACAAAGTTAAATATTTTTAACAACAAATCCTAGAACTTAACCAGAACAAAAAGTACCACATTGACCCTATTCAAATTGGGGGCTCAACTATGATGACTGAATCTTATTTCGAACTAAAATCTCAACTTCCAAATTAACTCAGGAAACCTTGCAAGTTATTGAAAAGGGAGTACCTGAGTGAAGATAAGTGCAGAGAGACGAGCCTTCCCTTTTGCAACCCTTGTGTACCTAAAATTAAATTTAAACAACGGATAAAATCAACAGATATCTGAGACTAGGGAATTGATATTAACATAAGAGATGGAGCTTACGGGAATCGACGACCATGCGATAGAAAAATCAGAGCCGCCGTCCCAGATGGCCTTCCTGATGCAGATAGTGTCTCTGCTGCATCTGTTTTCTGCAAAAGTTCTGGTGGTTTTAGTTTACTTAGAAATGACGAAGAATGTTGGGCCTCTTTAAATTTT